GGTGGGAACCGGTTCACTTCGGAGGACTTGTACGTGGAGTTGAAAACGAAGCACTTATGAGGGCAAGTTTGGACCTCGTTGAAGAACATCGTAGCAAGGCTTTGCTAAGGATCAGCCTACCAGCAGCGAGCAAAGAGGTTTTTTGATTCAAAGGTCAAGCGAAGACTTCCAGGTCGGTGACCTTGTGTTGAATGAAGTTCTCCTCGGAACCAGGAACCAAGTGCGGGGTATTAGGACCTAACTGGGAAGGTCCATATCGGGTCGATAAGGTGATCAGACCGGACCTTACCACCTCCAAAAGGCTGAATGGTTCCAAAGTACCCCGAGCTTGGAATGCCGAGCACCTTCGACCATACTATCAGTAATCCCGAACTCAATCCTTGTTAAGATAGTTCGATTTTGTTCTGTAATTGTAAAATATTTTCCTGTTCGCTTAATGGTTCAAGTTTATCCTGTTTGCTTGCAATTCATGAATAACAATGCCTATGTAATTGAACTAAAGTTGCGAACAAGCACGCATGTATGAAAAAGCGAATTGTAATTAAAAACAAAATGTATTTTCATTAATGTACAAGTGAAAATTAGATCCACTATCAATGGAGCCAAAGCTCGTTACACTACGGCTGGTCGGGGGGATCCTTCGAAGCAGCACCCGAACCTTCTGCCTGGTCAGGCCCCCTGGCGGCTGCTGCTGCTGCTTCATCATCTTCCTCTGCCAAGAGCCGCAAAGTCTCTTGCTAACCCGGTAGGAGGGCGGACACGTCGAGATCCGGGTTCTTTGATCGCAGCGTGTAAATAGCCCCGATCGCCCAGTCGGCGGCCTTTTCCTCCGTCTCCTCTGACTGAATCTGTATTTCTTCAGTCAGTGAAGCGACCTTTTCTCGACTCTCCTGGAGTTCGGCCTCAAGAGCTCGCTTCTCCTATTCGGAGGCCTCCCTTTCCTGTTCAGCCTTCTGAGCCCATATGGAGGTCGTTTGGATCTCCTGGTCCTTCTCCCCGGCCTCTTTGGTGAGCCTGGCGGTTGTCCTTTGAAGCTCCTTCACCTCCTCCGCACGTCACTCGAGCTCCGCCTTCTGGAAGTCTACAGTTCCCAAAGCGGCATCTTTTTGGACCAGGTACCTGTTCGCCGCGTCGAATGCCTCTGTTCTTTCAGCTTCGGTGGACTCCAGGCTTTTCTTAAGCTTCGCGATCTCATCTTGCTCGCTGGACTCCTTCGCGGCTCCCAGCCGAGTCCTCTCCATGGACATCCTCATCGCAAGTAGAGTCTGCGAGCAAGAAATGGTTAGAAATGAACCAGAACAAAGTTTTAAGAGAAGCTCGTTTACCTTGCTTAGATGCTGGAACGACGTGGTCATAAGGTCGTCGCCCGTGTCAGCGAACTCATCATACGATTTCGATAGTCCACACTCGAGCAGAGAATAGACTATCGGTTGCAGATACTCGGGCAGGCTCCCCAGTGAGTCTAGCACTGGTGCGTCCTTTGCGATCGCCTCGCCCACAGGTTCCTTGCCCGACCTCCTTGAGTCCTGTCGCGACCTCAAGGGCTCCTCTTCGGATTCAGTCTCAGACTCGTCGACCTGAACCTGTTTCCTCTTCTTCGACTTTTGAGCCGGAGCCTTCCGCTTTGGGCGAGTCGATGGTGCCTGAGCGACCTGCTCCACCCTGGTCGTTCCTTGCACTGGTTGGTGCCGTGAGGGCGTGTCATTTCGCACCGGTTGTGTTTGGGTAGGACGAGCAGCTTCGGCCGCCCTCTCGCTCCTCGATCGAGGGAAGACAAACGGTGCTCGGCGAGACTGCCCGGACTCCTTCTGAGGCATAACTTTTGCAGGAAAGTGTGTTAGTAAACAAAACTATTCAGCGACCAGAAAGAAAACTAATGTAGCTTACCTTCTTCAAGGGGTTCTAAAGACGCGTTGCTATTGATAAAACCGTACTCCGCAGGTTCGCAGTAGACTAGTTTCCTCGCGTCTCGGCTTTCCTCGGGCAGCACTCCAAAAGATACAAGTCTGTCGGGTGTCGAGCAAGTCTTGGCTGGTCGTTCTATTGACTGCAAAGAAGAGACAGGTCGTTATCATAACGTATGTGAACAGTTAATTACAACGAAGAAGAACCTTTGGCGTCTGGAAGTGGCAGCAGCCGTCATAGCAGAAAAAGAAGAATTGGTCGCTAGGCTCCCGCGTGCTGGGATAGCTATGTATCGGCAATGGTAGGGTCACCGGGACAAGTAATACGAATCCTTGTCCCTACTCTTTTTGAGATAATAAGTGACGCCGAGCTCCACGGCGTAGGCTCGCCCAAGCGCTCTCGCAGCAAGGATGTACATCGCGACGGCGATGACATACGCGTTCGGTGTGAGCTGCATCGGTGCGATCCCGAAGTGATCCAGGACCGACCTGATGAAAGGATGGAAGGGAATCATCCCTCCACCCTGAAGATCTCCTCGGAGATCGCAGCAAGACCGTCGGCAGGATGTCGCGACGACTTGGTGGTCGAGGAACACCTCCGCTCGGACGTTATACTGTCTTTAATCCTATCAAATTCCTCTCAGGTAAGAACCGAGAAGACTTCAAGGGACGCGTCCGCGGGAACTTTCGCGTGGACGAGCTGGTTCCTTCTTGGGTCTGGACGTTGACGGACCATTGAGTCTGCAACATCAACGACACGGTCATTAGGCCGTGTTTTGTCCGTGCGGCGGCAAGGGACAAATTCCCAAAACCCTAATAGTAACTTGAGCCGCACCCACGGCTCGAGTCCGGCAACAGGGCGCGTCTCTGGTGGAACACCGAGAGAATCAACGCCGTTACCACCAACCAAACAAATGTAAAAAAAAGAGAGGAAAAAGAGAATCTTACCTTCTAGGATGAGTAACCGAGGCCGAAACTCGTTTTAGTTGCCTGAGAAGCGCCGATTGGAAAAGAACGGTTTCTGGTTTGCAAAGGCTTGTACTCGAAGCAAAAGGGATTTCGTGACCTCATCTGAAAAATATGAGTTCTATATGGGCAACGAACCGACGGCCGCAACCCCTCGGAACCGAAGCGACAGCCTTCTCTCCTCCCGCATTTAATGCGCCCCACGTCGCATAAATGCCATAATAAGGGCTGACGTTTCAAATGCGTTGAGCAGTCAAAAGCTGTCACACGACGTCGAGTCAGCACACCACGCTATTAATGCACCTGACACATACAGCGCGAGCAGAGTGCCCGATAGAGCGGATGCAGGTCATTGAATCTCTCCACAGCATAGAAAGGAACGCCCGCGATCCAGGTCGCGAATGATGGTCATCAGGGCGTTTGGACAAGGGTGGTCGAGGTCATGCTCGCAAAGGATTCTGCACCGAGCTTCTTCCGTTCAGGTCGAAACGACCAAAACCTATCACGGCACGAGTTAGTTTCCAAGGTTCGACCCTCCAAACCTTACAAACTAGGGGGCTTCTGTTAGCCTGGGAAAGTAAGGGCTGACGTGGGAGGGTCACGTGGAGAATGACCTGCTCCGTCAGAACAACAAACACAGTCAGGCCTGCCAAACGACATGGAGCTCTCACGCGTCCATTTCCCTGCAGTAAACCGTGCGAAGTCAGCTTGGGAAGAAGGTGATGGGACATAAAGCCGGATATATCGACAATCACACCAACACAAGGATTTAATGATGATTACACGCTTCAGCTTGATATAAGAAGAGGAAGACCCTCATTAGGGGATTCGACCATTTTTACAAAAATCAGCTCTCTCTCTCTCTTGAAAAAACACATTTACTTTTCCTAAACCTCTTGTAAGTCAGTCCGCTGTTGCGACCTGACCCACACTCACTATCAATACAAATCAGTGGACGTAGGACTTGCTACCTTAGCATCCGAACCACTTTAAAAACTCTCACAGCATTTATTTCTCTTTATATATTCATTTTCATGTGTGCTTTTTGATCAATCAACGTTGCACATGATCGGTTAGTTGGTGCCAAAATCCCGCATCAACAATTTTAAAAACTTAAATGGTGTTGACAGCGCACCTTCACTCTAAACTTTTATAATAATTTTGTATAACAAATAATATATACTCGGTTTGTACGTACAATTAAGCAATACTCACAAACATCCAAAAGCACTAAACATTACTGTTTTGGCTAAAGGATTTTACGGTTTTAAGCAAGCTGATAGTTAATACGGGGCAGTATTTTGAGGATAATTTTCAGTTGGATTACGTGTTAGCAACTGGACCAGCAGATAATAATTGACATTGATGGTAGTGAGTTATCATGGGAGATTTCCTCAACAAATGGCCTGTTTAGTGCTTTAGTGAGCTCAAAAGCTCTTCTGAAAAAACTTTGCTTTATGTACAATTTAACCTAAGGTTGGATTCTTTTCGGTATGCCCATCTTAGCTACTTTATGGAGACCTGGACCTTTTTTTTTTTTTTTTTGTTTTCCTTCCTTTCCTGATGCAGTAGTTCATCTTCTACGGCAACTTAGCCTTCCCAATAGCGACCTGCCCAAACTTTGAGAGCCAATCATCAAAATAAACTCCTTATGATTCTTACTGTTTGACATTTATCTAAAATTTTAAATGATGAGTTTATACATGATATTCAAATTTCAGAACTTTAATTCAATGGGTTAGTTGAAACACGTTAAACTTTATGAATTTTAATTCAATTTTTTTTTTTTTAAGGAAAAAAACATGATTATTGCACTAGAAAAGAGGCTGTCTTTCTATTTTATATTAACAAATATAACTTTATCATTTAAACGTTTCCTATTTACGTTTTTTTGTCACAGAAAACGTTTTTTTGCACTAGAATACCGACTTGCATTATCTTTGTGGAGTTCGTCATTGATGCATAAGCCATAACTGTCTACATGATAAACAATGCATTTTCAACTTAAAGTAGTCAAACTTAAACCCCTTTATATGGTCACGTCTTTAACCAATTTTTTTCAATCCTCACACCGTTCCAGATTGTAAGATTCTCTCAACTGAGACTTTCTATCTGACTTCAACCTAAAGTACGTCCGGTACTGCCAAGAAGAAGGAGCCTCAAACGCCATGATTTTCCATATTCTTCTCTTAATAACCTTTTGGGTAGTAGCAAATCACTTCCGTAACAAGATCAAGAATCTCCCACCAACCCCTTTCCCAACTCTACCTATCATTGGCCACCTTTACCTCCTCAAGCAACCTCTTTACCGAACTCTTTCTAAAATCTCAGCCCGTTACGGCCCCATACTTCTCCTGAAATTCGGATCTCGCCGTGTTCTTCTTGTGTCCTCCCCGTCCGCCGCCGAAGAATGTTTGACTAAAAACGATATCACTTTCGCCAACCGACCTAACCTACTCGTCGGAAAACACTTGGGCTACAATTACACTAGCCTCTTATGGGCTTCATACGGGAACCACTGGAGAAACCTCAGGAAGATTTCTTCCCTTGAGATCTTATCCACCAATCGTCTGCAAGCATTCTCTTTTGCTCGCGTAGATGAGATCAGATCATTAATTCATAGGCTTTATAGAAGTCAAAATCAGATAGTAGATATGAAATCTGTTTTCTTTGAGTTGATACTGAACGTAATCATGAGGATGATAGGCGGGAAGAGTTTCTGTGGTGAAAAGCTGAAGGGAGTGGAGTCAAAGGAGTTTCGACAGATAGTGGCTGAATCGTTTCGTTTAGGTGGTGCATCAAATTTAGTGGACTTTTTGCCAGTTTTGAGGTGGATTGGGTATGGAGGGCTGGAGAAGAGTTTGTTGGTTTTGCAGGAGAAGAGAGCGAGGTTTATGCAAAGGTTATTAGAAGAGCATAAAACAAAAATGAGTAGTGACGAGGGTAAAGATAAAAATTTGGACGGACAGGGAAAGAAGACGATGATTGAAGTGTTGTTGTCTTTACAAGAATCGGAACCCGAGTACTACACAGATGATATTATTATAAGCCTTATGCTGGTAAGATCTACACGAGCCCTTCATTCATCATTTTGTAAAGGAAAAATAAAAAATAATGATGAATGTATTTGCTTTGGTATTAATCTAATCTAATTGTTTGAAACTAAGAGACAAGAAGTCAAACATCAGGGTAATATTTGCAGATGCATTAAGTTTGAACTTAGTCAACTTACATTAACACACTAAAATGTATTTGTAGTTTTATCACTTTTATGTAGTGTCATAATCAGTACGACTATTCTTACAATTGTTTATGCTTCGGTGTACGAATAGAGATTAGTCTTTAGCCATTTTTCACCCAAAAAATATCTTTTTTAAAGCAGGAAAAACGAAATTTATTTACCAAAAACATTCTGTAAGCTATATCTCATCAATTCTATCCTTTATCTTTTTACAGGTAATTTTAACAGCAGCAACTGATACTTCAGCCGGAACGATGGAATGGGCTATGTCTCTTCTTCTAAACAACCCAGATGTTTTGAAAAAAGCACAAACTGAAATTGACCATCAAATTGGGTCTGATCACTTTATAGATGAGTCTGACTTGGCTAAGCTTCCCTATCTTCATTGTATCATAAATGAGACTTTACGATTGTACCCAGCAGGGCCATTTCTATTACCACGTCAATCATCAGAAGAATGCATGGTTGGAGGTTACCGCATTCCGCGCGGCACAATGCTATTGGTGAATATGTGGGCCATACAACACGACCCGAAAATTTGGGAGGATCCTACTGAGTTTAAGCCTGAGAGGTTTGAAGGGTTCGAAGGCGTACGAGATGGGTTCAAGTTGATGCCTTTTGGGGCAGGAAGGAGAAGCTGCCCCGGTGAGGGCTTGGCCTTGCGCATGGTTGGATTGGCATTGGGCTCACTAATTCAGTGCTTTGATTGGGAGACACCCGATAAGTGTATGGTGGACATGACCGAAGGACCTGGACTCACCTTGCCCAAGGCCCACTCTTTACAGGCTAAATGCCGTCCACGTCCAACCATGCTCAAGCTTCTTTCACAGCTATGATATAATTTAGCTTAAGAAGCTAGATGACGATTATTACTTCATAATCATCTCAATAAATCTTGCTTCTTATTTCAATTTTGTGTGGCTGAAGTCATTACTATATCAACGAAGAGAAGGTGCTAAATATCAAGGTTAACAAATTTCCCTATTAAACTTATGCCTCAGCTTTCTATTTAAGTGATGAATTATGTTCAATTTTCTAATTGTAATAACAAGGAGAGTTGTAATTTTCATAAAAAATTAATAAAAAGAAGAAAAATTATTTCATTGCCTTATCCATCACTCAAGGATAATCTCACCCATCTTTAATAGCGTCTTTTAGAGGAACTTATCACTTGACATAGATGTAAAGAGTGTAATGTCTAAACTGCTACTTATTATTCATTTTTTTAATATTTAAAAAAATATATAAATTTTTTATTAAATGAGCCATTTTCGCTCCTAAATATTTTTATTGAAATAGTTTATCTAAGCTTTAAAAGCTGGATGATTATAACGTTTTAAAAAATCTCAAGAAAATAACTTCTTGTCATGTTGGTGTTGATGGCTGCCGTCTGCTAGATATCAGTGTTAACGGTGTTAACTAAAGATGCACCATATCATAATTTTGTATGACTAAATAATATATACACAACAAATAAATGACCCTTTAAACAGTACTTAGATTTGATTACATAATCATAGTCTTTTATTTTAATTTATTGAAAATATCTAGAATACAACGGTGGTACCACCAGCTACTTATAAATTATCACCTATTAGTTTTATTTGACATCAATGATGAAAACAAGGATTAAATTAAAATAAACACGAAAGGATTAAACTGAAATAAATCATATTACTAAAGAAAGAAGCCAAAGTAACGTGACAAACTGCTTTTCTCGTTTTCCCAGCTGTTTTTCCGGCAAAAAGCTACAGCCTTCCCGATCACTTGGTTCTTCTATTAGTTTTAGGCTTCTATAAACTCAGAGCTTCCATCAATAATTAATAAAGACTGCAGCATCATGTTTTTTTTCAAACCAATCTTGGTCTCCCTCAATCTGAAACTTCACAATCTAAACTCCTTACAAAGATATTTTATTTCTGGAGAAACGAAGGGTCTTTTTTGTCTGTCGTGTTTTTGGTTTTAGTATATTGAAAGTTTTTATCTCTAATGTTTGAATGCCATACCAGATATTTTCTTCTGTAATGTTTTTGGTTTTAGTATATTGAAAGTAGAGAAGCAGCCAACCAAAATCAGTGTCTTCGTTTGACATAAAGGGAACATTATTGCAGCACACGGCTGTGAATTTGTTGCCATTTTGAGAATACATAAGGGGTTTTCCTGGGTTTAGATCTCTATAAACTGAGAGCTTCTTTGCGAGATTCCGACAATATTCTAGTAAGATTTTGTCATTGGCGGAGAAAATTTTTCATGGGATTCCTGTGATTAGGGGTGTTCGGTTCCGGGTACCCTGCACTTTTTGAAGGAACCGGAACCGGAACTGGAATCAACGGTTCCTTGAAACTTGGAACCAGAACCGGAACCAACATTTTCGGTTCCTAGATACCCAGAACCAGAACCTGTAACAACGGTTCCGATTCTGGTTCTGGGTACCCTGTAAAATTCACGACCCCCCAAAAGTTTTTAAAATAGCAAAAAAAACCCGTAAAAACTTACAAATACCCCGCCCCCTCCCCCCCCCCAACCCGGCACTTGTTAACAAAAATAAAATTACAAATTATAAATTCAAAATTCAAAATTACAAACTCCATTACTTTGTAAAGATAAATTCTCAAAAGTCAAACCAACTTACTATAAATGTTATGAAATATAAATATTAATGTATTCACATTACTTTTTTTATAAAAGTTTTTATTAATCCCCTTAATATTTAATTTTATTTTATATTTGTCTCAATTCCTGGTTCTTGGTTCCTGTTCTGGTTCCTAACTATAAGAACTGGAACCAGAACCGCATAGCAACGGTTCCAAAAATTTGGAATCGGAATCTACTCATTGACGATTAGTTCTGGGTAGAAACCGGAACTAAACCCAAGATACCTGTCGATTCCAGTTTCAATCGGTTCTTTTGAACATCCTTACCTGTGATAGTTTGTCATAGGGAATAGAGTAACCTATCTTGGGTTGATTTCTTTTTTTTATGGAATTAATATGATAAGTGGTTTAATTTTTTATTTTAAGTGAACTTGATAGGTGTCAGTAAATAAGTGGTTTGTACCACCGTTGTATCCTAATTTTTCAATAATGTATAATATAATTTTTTTAGATAATTTTGACATATGAGATCTTTCTCATGATTCGAACACAATCTTTTAATTATTGGGTTTTGGTTCCTATTTATATTTAAGAAGTCAAAGACTTCTCTAAGTTTGATATGAAATAAAGTAGCATGGGCAGATGAATATTTGGTAAGTTGAATTTCAGCTCCCTAGCCCAAATTATCTTTCTGTAGCTAAAAAAGTCTAGCTTATGATGGCCATCTGGACTTAGTTCTTTTGTCTAAATGCATCTTTGCCCATTTTCTACGGCAACTCACCTTTCGGCTTTCGCCATAGCTGCCGCCCCATACTTCAAGCCCAACATCACCATAAATATCCTTATAATTCTATACTTTATATCATTTATCTAACTTTTTAAATAATGTGTATGTATTTGCAGATGAGCATCATTACACTTATAACTTTTTTCATAAAACCTTGATGTGGTGACTAGTAATTGGTTAGTTTACAGTGAATCTTGTCTATCCAAATACAAACTAATCAATCACGAACTGTTACTCCAGGATTGTATATAAAAGTTGTATGAAAAAGTTATAAGTATAATATTATTGTTTGAAGATATCAAAACACAAGATACCGAACTTATAATGTAATAATTTATATTCAATGAGTTCCTTGAAAACATAATTTTACAAATTATTATCAACTTGTGATGTATTTGAAGATACCAGCTTTTGAATATTCAATAATGCTACGGACACCGATTTTTTACACTGAAATTTTTTACCGAACAATGTAGCAACCAGTCAGACGCAGACAAGTTGGACAGAAATACATCTCCCGTGAATAGACGGTTGTCCAACAATCACAGACGAGCATCCATACTTTATGGATGACCGTTCATCACAAAAGGATGTCTGTCCATATTATATGGACGAGTATTTATTTACTATGGATGGGCCAGAAAATTTTAAAAATAAAATGATCTTATATAGACGCTTGCTAGAAAATTTTAAAAACAAAATAATCTTATATGGACGCTCGTCCAAAAAATTTTAAAAATAAAATGATTAACACCCATCCATTTAATACGGATGGAGGGTCACATACAATAGATGATCGTCCATACTGTCCAAATCATCATTATGTTTATACATTTGCAAGGACTTTTCCTTCAGATTTCAGCGCATTATTGTCACAAAGGCTACCCACTTGCTCCACATTTCTTATCCATTTTTGTGTGGTCATTGTTATTAGTGAAATTTAATTGGTAAGTCAATGCCAAAACCATTGATTGGTATATTTGTTTTTATTGGGATAATTCTATCGCACAGAAACTCCAACGTTCATGCATTATCAACCATTGATTACAATTATCAAACTTCGTTGTTATTATTGAAATTTAATTGGTAAGTCAATGCCTCAACCATTGATTGGTATATTTGTTTTTATTGGGATAATTCTATCGCACAGAAACTCCAACGTTCATGCATTATCAACCATCGATTATAATTGTCAAACTTAAAACCCTTTTTTTTAGAGTGTTTGCATCAGTTTACGGACACCTCAATAAATCTTTAGTATCTATTAAATATTTTATAAATCTTTATCACAATATTATTATGATATATAGTCCTGAGATTTAAACACAAAAACTCAAAGAAAATAATCAATCTCTTTGACCGCGAAACAAACCCATCAAGAAAACCTTAGTCTTTAATCTTTAACCCAATTTTTTTAATAATAATGATTTGCTTATAGTTGTGTTATATAATGATAAAAATTTAATAAAATTGATGTAAAATAATTATTTATATTTTGTTTTATACCTACGATTGTATGATTAACTTGTAAGCCAATGGCTTTGTATTTTAAATCCTCACACCGTCCCAGATTGTAAAATTCCGTGAACTCAAGACTTTTTGTCTGTCTTCAAGCTAAAGCACCACCATTACTGCCAAAAAGTAGTAGTTTCAGACGCCATGATTTTGCATATACTTCTCTTAATAGTCTTCTGGGTAGTAGCAAATCACTTCCTTAACAAGATCAAGAATCTCCCTCCAACCCCTTTCCCGACTTTACCCATCGTAGGCCACCTTTACCTCCTTAAGAAACCTCTTCATCGAGCTCTCTCCAAAACCTCAGCCCGTCACGGCCCCATACTTCTCCTGAAATTCGGCTCTCGCCGTGTTCTCCTTGTGTCCTCCCCATCCGCCGCCGAAGAATGTTTCACCAAAAACGATATCGCTTTTGCCAACCGACCCAATCTACTCGCCGGAAAACACTTGGGCTACAATTACACCAGCCTCGTATGGGCTCCATACGGGGATCACTGGCGAAATCTCAGGAAGATCTCTTCCATTGAGATCTTATCCACCAATCGTCTGCAAACACTCTCCTTTGTACGCGTGGATGAGATCAGATCATTAATTCATACGTTTTACAAAAAACAAAATGGGATAGTGGATATGAAATCTGTTTTCTTTGAGTTGACTCTGAACGTAATTATGAGGATGGAATGCGGGAAGAGTTACTATGGTGAAAAATTGAAGGGAGAGGAATCAAAGGAGTTTCGAGAGATAGTGGCTGAAAGTTTTCGTTTAGGTGGTGCGTCAAATATTGTGGACTTTTTGCCATTTTTAAGGTGGATCGGGTATGGAGGGATAGAGAAGAGGTTGTTGGTTTTGCAGGAGAAGAGAGAGAAGTTTATGCAAAGGTTAATAGAAGAGCATAAAACAAAAATGGGTAATGATGAGGCTAAAAATAAAAATTTGGATGGACAGAGAAAGAAGTCGATGATACAAGTGTTGTTGTCTTTGCAAGAATCGGAACCTGAATACTATACTGATGAGATTATTAGAAGCCTTATGCTGGTAAGATCTGTACCCTTCATAATTTTTTCATTAAATATACTCATCCATGTCTTTATTTAGTTAAAGTACTAATCTTTATTGTTTTTTTAATCTAAAAGTGATAAGTACCGGCACTTCAGTTTCAGATTCTGAGGACCCAGTCTCCTTTATTAGAAAATATTAATCTTAAAAGTTAAAATTGATCTCAGAATCTATATCCTTTGGTATTAATCTAGCTAGTTGTTTGACTCTAAAATAGATAATAATCCGGCAGTCAAGATAATAGTTGCTAATCTATTATTTTTTAACTTAATATTAATTTGTAGTTTTGAGTATGCCATAATTGGCATGAATGTTCTTACAATAGGTTTTCCTTCGGTGCATCAATAGAGATTGTCTCCTCATCCCAATTTAACCAATCATTTCAGCCAATAACAAGAAAAAGAACCCCTCTTTTTCATTACGGAAAATGAATAGTATTTACACGTGTTGTATGCCTAAATGGCTAAATTTATTTACCAAAAAGGTTCAGGAAACTTCATATCAATCCTTTATTTCTTTTAAATTACTTTTCCTTATCTTTTACAGGTGATATTAATAGCAGGATCTGATACTTCAGCTGGAACGATGGAGTGGGCAATGTCTCTTCTTCTAAACAATCCAGACGTTTTGAGAAAGGCACAAATCGAAATAGACAATCAAATTGGATCTGATCACTTTGTTGATGAATCTGACTTGCCTAAGCTTCCCTATCTTCGTTGCATCATAAATGAGACTTTACGATTGTACCCAGTAGGGCCGTTACTAGTACCACGTCAATCATCAGAAGAATGCATGGTTGGAGGTTATCGCATTCCATGCGGCACAATGCTATTGGTAAATATGTGGGCCATACAACGTGACCCAAAAATTTGGGAGGATCCTACCGAGTTTAAGCCTGAGAGGTTTGAAGGATTCGAAGGCGTGCGAGATGGGTTCAAGTTGATGCCTTTTGGGGCAGGAAGGAGAAGCTGCCCCGGTGAGGGTTTGGCCTTGCGCATGGTTGGGTTGTCATTGGGCTCACTGATTCAATGCTTTGATTGGGAGACGCCCGATAAGGGTATGGTGGACATGACCGAAGGACCTGGAGTCATCCTGTCCAAGGCCCACTCTTTACAGGCTAAATGCCGTCCACGTCCAACCATGCTCAAGCTTCTTTCACAGCTATGATACCATTTAGCTTAAGAAGCTAGATGCTGATGTCCGAGGTCATTACTATATCAATGAAGAGAAGTTGCTATATATCAGCGTTAATAATTTCCCTTATAAAACTTGTATCTAAACCTTATATTCAAGAGTTTAAATATGTTGAATTTTCCTAAGAATGAAATTTGCAACAATTATTTTACGACATTATTAATGATATAAAGCATAGTTGTTAAAAGAAAGAATATGATTATATAATGTATCTCTTAATTTTTTTGTTCAACTGTAATAACAAGAAGAGTTTTAATATTATAATATGGATTTTATTGAAAGTATGCTGGTTTTGGTAATATATATTGGGTCTCCTTTACTTGGGACAAGTAGAAAACTGCTAAATGCCTGAAAAATTTAACATTTTGTTTTTGTTTTTGTCATGATATATTATAAATTATATGAAAATTTTTATATATGCTAAAAAAAATGTCAGAAATGAAAAAACAAAATTTTAATCATTTGAAATTTCAATATATCATGCATTGCATCGTGAAATTTGTTTCTATCTACCTAATCCTATCTATAAATAATACAAAATTTCAATGCAAAGATACTCTGTCCTTCAAGAAAGAATCAAACAAAAACAAGAGACAAAAAGAAAGAAAGCAATGAGATTTATTAAAAGGGGCGTTGTTGTACAAGGGCAGAGCATATCATTAACTATTCTTCCGCAAGAAGGTAAAGTCTTCAATATGTCAATACCCATGGAAAGCTTGTTTCTCTACTTGCCAATCTTCTTGGCCCTGTATGTGGTCACCAAGCATTTGTTAAACAAAATCCAGAACCTCCCACCAAGTCCATTTCCTTCACTACCCATCATTGGCCATCTCTACCTCCTTAAACCACCCATGTACAGAACTCTAGCGCAGATATCAAAACGAAAAGGTCCCGTAGTCCTCCTCCAATTTGGGTCTCGCAAGGTCCTCCTCGTCTCATCACCATCGGCTGCTGAAGAATGCTTCACAAAAAACGATATTATTTTTGCCAACCGACCTCGCTTGCTCATCGGGAAACAATTGGGCTACAACTACACTAGTCTCGCTTGGGCTCCCTATGGTGATCACTGGCGAAACCTTAGACGAATTGCGACCCTTGAAATCTTGTCCGCTGCTCGCCTCCAAGTATTATATAGTATACGTATTGATGAAATAAGATCACTTATCCACAGGCTTTTCCTTAAACAATTTCAATCTGTTGACCTTAAGACCATGTTTAATGAGCTGACAATGAACGTCATGATGACGATGATCGCTGGTAAACGATATTATGGTGAGGACTTGACAAATTTAGAGGAAGCGAATATGTTTAAGGAGATCCAAGCGGAGACTTTTAAGGTTAGTGGCACGACAAATATAGGAGATCACTTGCCGTGGATTAAATCAAGAGAGCTAGAGAAGAGGCTGATGGAGTGTCGCAGGAAGAGAGACGAATTCATGCAGGAATTACTAGAAGAGCATAGAAAAGAAAAGGGAACCTATATTTCTGCTGAAAAGACGAAAACCCTGGTTGAGTTTTTACTGAAGCTGCAAGAAACAGATCCTGAGTACTACAAAGACGAGATCATCAAAGGCCTCATGATGGTAACTGGTAAGATCCCTGTTAATTCTGTAATTTATTCTTTAAAAATGAAAATCATTACTTCATCAGTACTCCTTCCCTAGTTTAATTTTTTAGTATTTTATTTGTATAGGTTCTGTTAATAGCAGGAACAGACACTACAACCAATACTATGGAGTGGACATTTTCACTTTTGCTAAACCATCCAGAAATCCTGAAGAAGGCCCAAACAGAAATAGACAACCGCGTGGGACATGGCCGCCTGCTCGATGAAACTGATTTAGTCCACCTTCCATTCCTTCGTAACATCATTAATGAGTCGTTGCGCATGTATCCGGTAGCCCCATTACTAGTACCTCATGAATCATCAGATGATTGCAAAGTAGGGGGTTTCCATGTACCACGTGGCACAATGTTAATGGTTAATATGTGGGCCATACAAAATGATCCGAAGATTTGGGTGGATCCAAGAAAGTTTAAGCCAGTAAGATTTGATGGGGTAGAGGGGGGAAGAGATGGATTCAGATCAATGCCATTTGGGTCAGGGAGGAGGGAGTGTCCTGGAGAAGGGCAGGCTTTGAGAATGATTGGGTTAACATTAGGCTCACTGATTCAGTGCTTTGAATGGGAAAGGCCTAGTAAGGAGATGATTGGCATGAGAGAGGGGATTGGTTTCACTATGCCGAAGGCCCAACCGCTAATTGGTAAATGCCACCCACGTCCTACCATGCTTAAACTACTTTCTCAAACCTAAACCAGGTAAAATGATTGTGGCTTTAGTCAATAAATGTTGAAAAATAAAAACAGGGATGTATGTTAAGCATTACAATGATGAAATTCTTCAATTTTTTTGACAGTTCATGATCAATATAATATATTTTATATGTTGAGTGTTTTAGTAATATTTGATATAAGGAGATGATAATATGATCATTTTTCACTTGAATGCAGATGAAATATAGTTTTCAAATAGATTGATAAATTTCATCATATGGACCTTTGGCAGACCCAAAAACTCTTGGCAAATTTTAAATTGTGAACTTGGTGTAATTTTTTCAAGGAAAACTAATTTTATAAATGGCTATTCTAGTATATAAAATTTATTAATAATTATTAGTGTATGCCTTAGGAACCAATCGTGTTATTGGTTTCATGGGACATTGTCTTGTATATTTAAAATGATGCATTATTTACATTGTTAATATTATAAGAATTGTTCTTCGTTTTATATGTTTTTCTTACTACTTCAATTTATACTTTGTTCACATTACATATGGAATGTCCGGATGATCTGAACCTTTAGAAGATCGAATCAACCAAGAGTTCCCTATGTACATAATGTTAATTGGGCAATAACATTGTATAGTAGACATGCTGAATGTCTTTATTAAATGTCATGTGATGACAATAGTGTCAATGATTACAAAAGTCATATCACTTGAGCATTAGCGTGGATAAGCGGTTAGTGAACTGTTTATCGAACATGACTGATTATGATGAATCACATGGACATCTAAAATATAGTCAATGATACATCGTAAGATCGTACTAGTGTACCACTGATCCTTAGACTTGAGATATCACAGTTGAATTCGTAGGAGATGCATATGGTTCATATGGTGTATAATTACGAGGCCAATCATGTCATGTGCAAGAAGCCGGTTTGGTCATGTATAGTTTATGTGCGAAGACAAGTGATAATAAATAAGAGATCTGTTGACTTGAAATAATTATGAGTTTTCAAACGAATGTCAATAAACATTGGAAAAGGAAAATCTTTGGCCGAAGTGTATAATAAAGTCACATGAAAGGTGTTTCATGGCGACGTGTTCCAATGTATTGATTAACAATTCGGATAAAAATTAAATAAATGATTTTGACATACCATGAACCTATTCTTGATCGAGATTGGATGACGGAGAGATTTTACTACATAGTATATATGACGATTAAAAGGTTCATTAATGAAGTTTATTCTTCATTATGGTTTATGGGTTATAGAACATTGCTAGACATCTACCATAAATAGTGGGAGTTTTGATCTTAAAGAGTTATAATGAAACATATCATAATCCAATATTTGGCCCACGACTAGATTACAATGAACAAAAATAATTACACATAAAACAAAGCTTAAAGAGAGAGAGAATGATACATATTATTAATCAGATTAACGATATTCGTTTGTAAATTATTACATCTGAATTAATATATTGGTGAGAAATGATTATTTGTGGATAACTAGTACCAACCAAGGGTAATAAAGGCTGTGTTTGGCTTAATATTTTTATCCATATTCTGGATCCTATTCTCCAAATAATGTTTGGCACATTATTTCAGAAATATTACCCTATTTTTTTTAATTACTTTTAAACCCCATAAGGTTATTAATTTCACTAAATACCCCCTGAAAAAAAGTTTAAAAATTAACAAAAACACCCCCATCAACCCAACTTGTCAGATTCCGGCAACCACCGTCGGTGATAGCTGGAATCTGTACAACGGCCTAACTTCCGACCATAAATGGCCGGAATTCACCGATGTGGCCTTTTCCGGCCAGATTCACCACGGATCTGGTCGGAAAAGGCCAGATCTGGCCGTCGTTGACCGAAAACGACGGCCAAAGATGGTCGTCGTTTGGCCTTTTTCGGCCGTCGACTGCCATAACAGACCGTAGATCTGGCCTTTTCCGGCCAGATCCACCATGGATCTGGCCGGAAAAGGCCATAACGACGTGTTACGGCACAGATCCGACCGGTCTGTGCCGTAATGAAATTTTCCGGCCAGATTCCGGCGGTGGTGGCCGGAATCTGGCACTGCAGGTGGTGGGGGTGTTTTTGTCATTTTATATGTTAGGGTCTTTAATTAAATTAGTAAACCTAAGGGCTTTTTCACAAATTTTTAAAATTTACCTCGTAATACTCCCCTATCCAATAACCCAATACTATCCCCAAAATCTTATCCAAAATACTAAACTAAACGCACCCAAAGATATTTAAATATTATTATTGAATTATATTCAATAATGAAGGCAAAAGTGCATTAATTTTATTCTAATGGTTAGAATATTTAATTGAATTAAAATTTGTGGCATGATTATGAGTTAACCATAAAACAAAAGACCTAACATAAATGCTTATCAAGTTATTTTAAAATTGTTTGAGGATTTCCAAAAATAATTTTAAAATTACACATTGTATCCATGTTATATAACCTAAGTTTTATATCATTTCCAAACATAGAAAACATCAAAACCAAACCACTCTCTCACTTTCTCTCTCACTCATGTGGGCTCTCTCAGCTTTAACTTGGATGGATTGCATTTTGAGTTTCTTCAATCTCATTTGAAGAATCAAGACTCCAAAAACAAGACTCAAATGTTTAATAGCAAAGAGTAGGTAATATTCCATCAATTTTCTTTCATTAACTTGTTAATGTTTTTATTGTTTTGTGTTCTACCTTATCACTTTCTAGTTTCTTCATTATTTTACACCATTTCCATGTCCAATTTACATGAATCTAACAATCACATGATTATAACGAGTATCACTTCATTGAAAAATCGTAGAATAGGACCCAGCAAGGACATGCTCTTGTAATTATAAAAAAAATCCTATCTACCCATTATATTTAGCGTATTTTAAATTTTCAACTCTAGTTAGTTCATTGGATGGTCAGTATCATATAGGAAGCTGAGGTGCTAGTGCTAATCTCATTCGTCTTTTTAAATATTAAAAGATTCGATGGAAATCCAATAATTCATCCTCTGAAATCTTTTGATTTATTCATTAAAGTATTCTTATAGTTTAATCAACTTTAATTATTCAGAATGTTTGTTTGGCTGTTTGGTTTGATCTAATAATCAGCAGTTAAAAAAACTGCTCTTGCATCGAGAAGCAGAGCACAGCCAGGGTCTCCTCTCCAAGAATTAGAAAGGACCTATGGGCTCCTGGTACTTGTGCTTTCCAGTATTCCTAGCTTTATATGTAATCACGAAGCACTTCCTGAACAAATTCCAAAACCTCCCACCAAGTCCCTTTCTTTCCCTCCCCATTATAGGTCATCTCTACCTCTTGAAGAAACCTATCCACCAGACTCTCTACAGAATCTCCAAACAGCACGGTCCCATAGCCTTCCTCCAATTCGGGTGTCGCAAAGTTGTCGTAGTCTCATCACCTTCTGCAGCAGAAGAATGTTTGACCAAGAACGACATCATCTTTGCCAAACGCCCTCGCATGACCATTGGAAAGATTCTAGGCTATAATTACACCATCTTATCTTGGGCTCCTTATGGTGATCACTGGCGAAATCTCAGAAAAATCGCTGCCCTTCAAATATTGTCAATTTCTCGTCTCCAAATGTTCTCTGGTATACCAGTTGATGAGGCCAAGATACTGATTCGCAAGCTATTACATAATCAAGACCAGTCTGTTGAACTGCGGACGATGTTTTTTGAGTTAACACTAAACGTCATGATGAGAATGATTGCTGGAAAGCGATATTACGGTGATAACATTGCAGATCTTGAGGAGTCAAAGAGGTTTAAGGAGATTCATAGAGAGACATTTAAATTAGCTGGAACGCCATGTATAGGAGATTACTTACCGTTGTTCAAGTCTAAGAAACTGGAGAACATGTTGATCAAGTTTCAGAGAAAGAGAGACGAGTTCATGCAGGGTTTGATTGAAGAGCATAGAAGAAGAAGAAGAGGAAGTGGTCATGATTCCGAGACTGATAGAAAGAATACGTTGATTGAAGTTTTGTTGGGGCTACAAGAATCAGAACCTGTATACTACAACGACGAGATCATCAAAGGCCTAATGCTTGTAAGATTTTTGTCTCTCTCTCCCTTGTTATGGAATAATTTTTACCTCTGAATTAAGCATTATCTATTATATATAATTCACTTCAGATACTACAAACTATCTTTATTACTGCACATATCTTTGTGAAATTTCATGTATTTTTGCATCTCTTGAACATAACGATTCCATTTCCTGGTGTAGATAATGTTATTGGCTGGCACAGACACCACAGTAAATGCTATAGAATGGGCACTTACACTTTTGCTAAACCATCAAGAAGTCCTTGAGAAAGTCCAAAAAGAAATTGACAAACATGTAGGTCAGGAACGTCTGATAGAGGAATCAGATCTGGCTCAGCTTCCTTGTCTCAGTAACATCATCAACGAGACAATGCGTATGTACCCGCCATCCCCACTTTTATTACCTCATGAATCGTCTGAGAAGTGCGTAGTTGGAGGATTTCACATTCCACAAGGGACAATCTTGTTTGCAAATTTGTGGGCTATACAAAATGATCCAAAGCTTTGGGCCGATCCAACAAAGTTTAAGCCAGAGAGGTTTGAGGGAGTAGAGAGGGGTAGAGATGGGTTCAGATTGATGCCATTTGGGTCAGGGAGAAGAGGGTGTCCTGGAGAAGGTTTAGGGTTGACAATGTTTGGGTTGGTTTTGGGGTCAATGATTCAATGCTTTCAGTGGATGAGGACTGGGGAGGAGATGGTGGACATGACGGAAGGGGCTGGATTAACATTGTCAAAGGCTCAACCCTTGCATGCTAAGTGCCGCCCACGTCCAATCATGTTCAACTTGCTATCTCAAATTTGAATGGTATGGTTATAAATTTGTCTGAAAAGCTATTGTGATGTGCAAATACAATGAGTGAAGATGTGAAAATAAAAAGGTTTGACGAATTCTGACACTCATAAGTTGTTCATAACCATTTAATATATCTATGTTTTTGTGTTCTACTTCACAAATTCACACATGTTACTTGTATCTATTTGTGAAATTTGATTGGTACGAAAAAACTTCAATTATAAATTTAATTATCATA